GGCTTCCTCGCCTGACTCCAAGCACAGACTTATACCGCCTTGCTTCTGCTGTGCCGCTCTCGGTCCGCGTGCGTTTTTTGGCATGCCAGACAATTCATAAAATTAAGCTGGGCATTGCTCCTCCTCATGCTCTCTCCTGCCTGAGCTGGTTTGTTCAATCTCAAGACATGCGCACCAGAAACTCTCTCCGCTTCCCTATTGCGCGGTCTGCCTCTATGCAAACATCTCCTCTCTTCCTTGCTTACCGCCATTGGTCTCTCCTCCCACAAAATCTAAAATCCTGCCAATGTTACAATACATTCACACATCTACTGCAGAATGCAACATACTAGTTAATATCCAGCCCTGCCCTAGCTCCCCCGCGCTTCTCTTACTTTTCAGTTCCCCTTTCATTCTTTTTCTTTCTCCCCTCTAGCTCTATTACCGCCATGGCTGGCTATCGCCCACATCACCATTTCATTGGCTAGTACCACGTGATTGTGAATAAATAATAAAATAATAATATATTTACTTGAAACTCGGATGTTGAGCCATAAATATATGTAGAAGAGAAAAGGACATATGGATACGAGTTAAGAGTAACTCTCCATCACGCTGTCGGTTAGCGCTACGGAGATGTGTTGAAGCTAGGTGTCAGGACGTCGAATGTCTCAGTACTCTGTCAGTTTTGTGCCTAGTTATTGCACTTTCTGACTGTATATAGTATCATATTACAGTGATGGAGAGTTACTCTTAACTCGTATCCATATGTCCTTTTCTCTTCTACATATATTTATTTATTTATTATGGAAGAAACTACGTACCATCATTGGTATCACGTACCCACAACGAATCTCGAACACAGCGCTGTATGCCAGAACCGAGCAGACCCCACTATCCCAAGTCTGCAGGCAATGGAGACTGCTGTGGTTCGGCCATGTAGTGAGGGAAGGCGAAGAATCGTCCCCTTTCCAAGCCCTCCTAATGTCGATCAACACAACAGACATACGACGACCCCGAGGACGACCATGTCTGAGATGGATCGACGTTGTCAAGAAAGACTTACAATGCATTAATCTGTCGCTTCTGGATGCTGTGCAATCTGCTTCTGATAGAGCTGCTTGGCTCGAAATTGTTAACAGATGCGTTGACCTCATGCAATGAGTGAAATGCGAACTGTCATTATTATCATTATTATTATTATTTTAATACGAAGGTACGTGTTGGGTCGTAAGTATCCACGCAAACACACATCCAGTCAAAATAAGGCACTTGTCAAAGTATCCGAACGTTTTCGGTCCCTTCTCATCAAGGATTATACAGGGAATGGCTCAAGTTGGAAAGACTAAAACTTATATAGCGTAAAGATATGAGATAACAACACTCGTGACAAGGTGGAAAATTATCAAGTTCAGCACGACACAAAACTCGAAGGAAATAATAATAGTGACAAGAACATAGTGAGCAAATTAAGTTACATTGTTAACACCTCGACGAGGAGTAACACCAAACAAATGTAGCGACAACACATTTTCTTTCTGTACGCAAAGTTCAGGATCTAACTTACGGATATACAAAGCTTCTAACACAGCCAGATGCAACGCACATCTACCACGTGACAATATTGAGAACACATTATCACTGTACAACTCACGACAATTGGTACGGACTGACAGCTGTTGCTTGATGGACGAAGTGCGATTCTTAGCTCCGTTGGGTGTTGTCTCCTCCAATGTCCCGTCATCTCGCCTCTTCGCGGCATGACCACTATCCGTCTCTTTGCTTTTCCGTGGCCTTCCACGTTTTCTGACACTAGCCGTTGTGTGCGCGATGCCCAGTGTCCTTTCAGCTACGTCTCCTCCATTGCGGATTTCTATTGATCTTCTTACTCTAACTTGTCCGGTGTTCGATATTGAGGTTCGTTTTCGCGGTCTACCACGTTTTCGAATATTGACTGTTGTTGTCACTTCCGTTGTCGTTGTACGTGCGTCCTCACCAGTCCGTATTTTTACTTGGCTACGCGTAACCCTTCCCGACGCAGACAGATCCTTTGTCAATTTCGGTGGTTTACGTGTCGGTCTTTCACCATCTTTCACGCTGTTCTCAGCTGGACCCTGCCCTACACACGCGGAGGAGGACGGGCATGCAGTCACATCTTCACAGGAAGAGGAAGATCCACCGATGGACTGGACAGCACATTTTGGAGGACGACCACGGCGAGGACGACACTCATGCGCATCAAGCGGAACAAAACTTAACGGCACATGTTGATGAATGCGCGCGCCCAGGTGCTGAAGGGTTCTACCTACATACCGATCTTCACATTGTCGGCATTGAAAGAAATAGATAAGGTTACTTTTACTAAGGGTAGGTAGAACATCCTTCTTCACACTGAACGCACGCACTGTCCCAAATATGACGTACAGCTTGACGCACGGATAAGATGGACATACGATACCACGAACATCCTTCTCCACGCGCGCAGAACCGGCGCCAACCTAAGAGTTTGGACACCACTATC